TAAAAGACTTGGCGACGGAATCTGGCCTCGATTACGGCCAGTTTCGTTCACACTAGCAAGTAATTACTGTGAGTATGCCGTCAAATTCCCCTGCCCACAATTACTGAAAGAACTACCAGCTGCTCCGTCAACGCACCGGTATTGCACATTGAACTTTGATATTTCTTTTTCTTTTTTTTTCTGTTTTTTTAATTTTTTAAATTTTTTTATTTTATTTTGGTGTGTGTGTGTGTGTGTGTGTGAGAGAGAGAGAGAGTGTGTGTGTGTGTGTGTTGGAGGGGGAGGCGGAATTCGTTGTATCTACGGCCAGAGCGGATGAAAATTTTGCATTTTCTTGGTTAAAAAAGAAAAAAATCTTGCGAAAAAGAGAATGAAAAAAGAAATTGCAAATGCAATTCTATTTGTAGCATCCATGTAGACAGCACAGAAATAAAGTGCTAGGGGCTAATCACCTTATCGCGCAAAAAAAAATCACAAAACAACAACACACAAAAAAAGCAGTTAGGAATGGCGTTCCCAAACAGAAGCCAGTTTCTTTTGACATCTGTTCGTGCTGGAAGAAACACAAAACAAACGTTCACACTTGCAAGTTTGAGGGACTTTTCTGGATGCATCTGCCCAGCATTAACGGCCAGGTTCGGTCAGAAATATTCTTCGTGTGAAACGCGCTGTGTGTCTGCTTAGCTGCTCGAAATAGAAGAAGCAAGAGACGAGCAATGACGACCGTTGCTCTGCACACACAGACGCATGGGAGAAAACTCTGCTCGTAGGGCCTCGCTACATTTCGCTTGCACGTGCTGCGGAAACGACAAAAAAATTATGGCGGTGTATCTTTCCATGTTCTGGTGCAAGATTCAGTCGCATTTTGCACGTTTGGAGAGTGGTGGAGAGAGGCCCGTAGGCAGGCGGGTCGCAAGGTGAGGGCATCTGGTTAGCGTCCTGGTGCGAGGTCCCGCTAGCAAAGAGGGAGTGGAATAAATGCCTGAATCTGGTCTTGTTTGTGGAGAGGTGCAGAAAAGGGAGATGGAACTGCTTTTGTGCGTCTCGCGCTAAAACACGTCCAGATTCATAAGATTTATGCAATCGTCCAGAGTCCTGATGAGACTGTAGCGTTGAATGAAGACGAACGCGTGCGCGTTTTCGAGCATGAGAGCAATTGGCCATTGCTCAGCGCGTTTCACAACAGGACTTTTTCTGATTGAACCTGGCCGTAAGTGGTGGTCAGATACATCCAGAAAAAGTCCCTCCTACTTGCTACTACGGGAGTATTGTGAATATTTGTTAGGTGTTTCGCCTGACGAACATATGCCAAAAGAACCTGGCTTCTGTATAATGATTGTTGGATGTTGTGACCAAAAAAAAAAAAAAAAAAAAAAAGAACCTGGCTTCTGTATAATGATTGTTGGTTGTTGGTCAAAAAACAAAACAAAACAAAAAAAAAACAATGAAAAGCCTGTTCTAACTGTTTTTTTTTTTTTTTTTGTAGTATGGTTTTTTTTTTTTTTTTTCCCCTCTTTCTTCTTTTTATGGGCATCTCTGAGCTTGACGCGCTCTCTCGATCGCTCGTACGGGGTTCTTTGAGCGAGTGCTTGCGGGCATGGGGCCTCGCTCCATTACATTTTTTGTTTTTTTTGAGGGGGGGGGGTTAAGTGGATTAGCCGCTAACATGAAAAATAAATAAATAAAGAAACTGACTTCTGATTTCTAACTGCTTCTTCTTCTTCTTTGTCTTCTTCTTCTGCTTAGCCG